AGTAGTGGTAGTGGTAGAGGTAGTCGTAAGCTCCTCTCTTCTATGTGCGGGTTATTTGTGTAACATTTCTCTATTCATAAATCTGAAGACAATTTTTAAATTTGCCAGCGTAGCTTGTAAATCTCTCATGATAACAATTGTGTGGTGTTACGGTGATGATATAATATCCTGCAATCAGCAGGATTCATAAGAACATAAGAAAGAACGAACACTGCAGCAGGCCTACTGGCCCACGTTTTGGGGCTTGTATCAAGGCTGCCTAGTTTCTTGTGGAATCTGTGTCTGAGTGGTCTAAAGCGTCATTTGGGGAACTATGCCACTCCCCAGACGTGATTTCGAATCCTGCGGACTGCGATCTTTCTCTGCATATACCTCCGCTTGTTTCTGCGTGGTGTCCCGTAGCTCGATTGCTAGCGCACTCAGCTCACACACTGAGGTCCGTGGTTCGATTCCCAACACAGGTGGGAACATTAGAACGTGTTTCCCTAAGATACCCGCTGTTCATCTAGCAGTAAAATGGGTACCAGTGTGTTAGTCAACTGGTGTGGGCTGTATCCTCAGGACAAAACTGACGTAATTTGCACGAAATGCTCTGCATAACAAGGGACTTTCTATACAGTAGTGTCACTGATGTCAGCTACGCCTGTATACGTTGTAAAAGTGCCTGTAGAAATAAAGATTATTATTATATATTTAGAACAAAGAGAATAATAGCCAGGACATCTATGGTACGATTTATAGAATTTTGTTTGACTACAATGAAGTTAAGTTTCCCTCCTGTCCTCTCCTTACCATTTCTTCCTTCGTTTTCCTTCTTTTGTTCTCCTTCAGACATTTTTCTCCCTACTTCTCCTTTTACCCCTTCTTAATTTTTAACTCATTTCTCAATCTTCCAATATTCCTGTTTTCACTATCTCATTCTCTTTCTCTACAGTTAAGCATCCTGCCCACTCTCCTACCTCTGGTACTCTCTCCTTCCTCTTGCTCTCTCTCTCTCTCCCACCACTTGCTCTCTACAATCTCTTACTCTCTCTATCTCTCCCACATTTCGCTCTCCTATCATTCTATTTTTATTCCTCCGCCGACACCTCTCCCCTCCTTCAACAAAGCAAGAGGGAAATTTCTGGTTTGATAACCTCACGAGTGCAGCATGGCCGCCACCAGGATAACTCTGCTGGTGTAGTGCAGCATGGCCGCCACCAGCATAACTCTGCTGGTGAAGTGCAGCATGACTGTGATGTAGTTCAACTATGCTTGGTAGGTCGCTAAGGGAGACCTAATTTAACCAATTATATGATCACTCCTTGCCTTGGCAAATAGCTGTCAGACACGCCTTTCGGCTTAAGTCTGAGGTCTTTAGTTCTTGACGGCGTCAGGTCAAAACACGTGGTGCACACCCATTTGTGGGGGGGGGGTGCTTTGAGGAAAATATAAGCCCAAGGAACAGCATAATCAAGGAGTCGAGAGGAGCTCTGGCCTGTGTGCAGAGCTCTGAGCAAGGAGATTCGGGCGGAGCTGATGCCGGTGTGCAGAGCTGAGCAGGAGTCTCTGGATGAGACTTTGTTGGAGTCATTGGGCAGAGTACTGGCTTGGAGCAGTACTCGGCTGTGTAGGTCTTGGGACCTGGGGCTAGTGTGTAACTTAGTTCCTGTGGTGAACTGTCCTCAGAACAATATTGTAAGTTATATTCTATTTCGTCAGTTGACTGTATTCCGTCTCACTGTTTATATGTACAATCCCCAATTTATCTAAACTCCTGTTTCCAAATATATTATTGTACAAGGACTTAATAATAATAATAAACTGTGTTTGGGTGGAATAGTAATATTCACTGTCCCCGTTATTCATTCATTTATACATTAATTTATTTAAAGTAGTGAGAGGGTGAGTAGTGGCTAGAGTAAAGAGAGGTGAAGGTGTAGTCACCAGCGACCTCACATTACCTCCGCTAATCACTCGACTTCCCTCTCTTACCTCCTCTCCTGTCTATCTTCCACCTCTAATGCATACTTCCTCGGATTTCTCCCATATACCCCAATTATCCATAAATTCCATTACCCCCCTACATGACCTGGCCGTCACCAGTATAACTGCTGGTGCAGTGCAGCATGGCCGTCACCAACATAACTCTGCGGGTGTAGTGCAGCATGGTCGCCACCAGCATAACTGCTGGTGTAGTGCAGCATGGCCGTCACCAACATAACTCTGCGGGTGTAGTGCAGCATGGTCGCCACCAGCATAACTCTGCTGGTGTAGTGCAGCATTGTCGCCACAAGCATAATTAGGCTGGTGTAGTGCAGCATGGCCGCCACCAGCATAACTCTGCTGGTGTAGTGCAGCATGGCGCCACCAGCATAAACGCTGGTAGTGTAGTGCAGCATGGCCGCCACCAGCATAACTCTGCTGGTGTAGTGCAGCATGGCCGCCACCAGCAAACTCTGCTGGTGTAGTGCAGCATGGCCGCCACCAGCATAACTCTGCTGGTGTAGTGCAGCATGGCCGCCACCAGCATAACTCTGCTGGTGTAGTGCAGCATGGCCGCCACCAGCATAACTCTGCTGGTGTAGTGCAGCATGGCCGCCACCAGCATAACTCTGCTGGTGTAGTGCAGCATGGCCGCCACCAGTATAACTCTGCTGGTGTAGTGCAGCATGGCCGCCACCAGCATAACTCTGCTGGTGTAGTGCAGCATGGCCACCACCAGCATAACTCTGCTGGTTGTAGTGCAGCATGGCCACCACCAGCATAACTCTGCTGTGTAGTGCAGCATGGCCGCCACCAGCATAACTCTGCTGGTGTAGTGCAGCATGGCCGCCACAGCATAACTCTGCTGGTGTAGTGCAGCATGGCCGCCACCAGCATAACTCTGCTGGTGTAGTGCAGCATGGCCACCACCAGCATAACTCTGCTGGTGTAGTGCAGCATGGTCGCCACCAGCATAATTAGGCTGGTGTAGTGCAGCATGGCCGCCACCAGCATAACTCTGCTGGTGTAGTGCAGCATGGCCGCCACTAGTATAACTCTGGTTGTGTAGTGCAGCATGGCCGCCACCAGCATAATTGCTGGTGTAGTGCAGCATGGCCGCCACCAGCATAATTGCTGGTGTAGTGCAGCATGGCCGCCACCAGCATAACTCTGCTGGTGTAGTGCAGCATGGCCACCACCAGCATAACTCTGCTGGTGTAGTGCAGCATGGCCACCACCAGCATAACTCTGCTGGTGTAGTGCAGCATGGCCGCCACCAGCATAACTCTGCTGGTGTAGTGCAGCATGGCCACCACCAGCATAACTCTGCTGGTGTAGTGCAGCATGGCCACCACCAGCATAACTCTGCTGGTGTAGTGCAGCATGTCGCCACCAGCATAACTCTGCTGGTGTAGTGCAGCATGGCCGCCACCAGCATAACTCTGCTGGTGTAGTGCAGCATGGCCGCCACTAGTATAACTCTGGTTGTGTAGTGCAGCATGGCCGCCACCAGCATAATCGCTGGTGTAGTGCAGCATGGCCGCCATCAGCATAACTCTGCTGGTGTAGTGCAGCATGGCCGCCATCAGCATAACTCTGCTGGTGTAGTGCAGCATGGCCGCCACCAGCATAAATCTGCTGGTGTAGTGCAGCATGGCCGCCACCAGCATAACTCTGCTGGTGTAGTGCAGCATGGCCACCACCAGCATAACTCTGCTGGTGCAGTGCAGCATGGCAGCCACCAGCATAACTCTGCTGGTGTAGTGCAGCATGGCCGCCACAAGCATAATTAGGCTGGTGTAGTGCAGCATGGCACCACCACATAACTCTGCTGGTGTAGTGCAGCATGGCCGCCACCAGCATAACTCTGCTAGTGTAGTGCAGCATGTCGCCAGCAGCATAACTCTGCTGGTGTAGTGCAGCATGGCCGCCACCAGCATAACTCTGCTGGTGTAGTGCAGCATGGCACCACCAGCATAACTCTGCTGGTGTAGTGCAGCATGGCCCACCACCAGCATAAACTCTGCTGGTGTAGTGCAGCATGTCGCCACCAGCATAACTCTGCTGTGTAGTGCAGCATGGCCGCCACCAGCATAACTCTGCTGGTGTAGTGCAGCAGTGGCCGCCACTAGTATAACTCTGGTTGTGTAGTGCAGCATGGCCGCCACCAGCATAATCGCTGGTGTAGTGCAGCATGGCCGCCATCAGCATAACTCTGCTGGTGTAGTGCAGCATGGCCGCCATCAGCATAACTCTGCTGGTGTAGTGCAGCATGGCCGCCACCAGCATAACTCTGCTGTGTAGTGCAGCATGGCCGCCACCAGCATAACTCTGCTGGTTGTAGTGCAGCATGGCCCCACCAGCATAACTCTGCTGGTGCAGTGCAGCATGGCCGCCACCAGCATAACTCTGCTGGTGTAGTGCAGCATGGCCGCCACAAGCATAATTAGGCTGGTGTAGTGCAGCATGGCCGCCACCAGCATAACTCTGCTGGTGTAGTGCAGCATGGCCGCCACCAGCATAACTCTGCTAGTGTAGTGCAGCATGGTCGCCACCAGCATAACTCTGCTGGTGTAGTGCAGCATGGCCGCCACCAGCATAACTCTGCTGGTGTAGTGCAGCATGGCCGCCACCAGCATAACTCTGCTGGTAGTAGTGCAGCATGGCCGCCACCAGCATAACTCTGCTGGTGTAGTGCAGCATGGCCGCCACCAGCATAACTCTGGCTGGTGTAGTGCAGCATGGCCGCCACCAGTATAACTCTGCTGGTGTAGTGCAGCATGGCCGCCACCAGCATAACTCTGCTGGTGTAGTGCGCATGGCCACCACCAGCATAACTCTGCTGGTGTAGTGCAGCATGGCCACCACCAGCATAACTCTGCATGGGTGTAGTGCAGCATGGCCGCCACCAGCATAACTCTGCTGGTGTAGTGCAGCATGGCCGCCACCAGCATAACTCTGCTGGTGTAGTGCAGCATGGCCGCCACCAGCATAACTCTGCTGGTGTAGTGCAGCATGGCCAACCACCAGCATACTCTGCTGGTGTAGTGCGCATGGTCGCCACCAGCATAATTAGGCTGGTGTAGTGCAGCATGGCCGCCACCAGCATAACCTGCTGGTGTAGTGCAGCATGGCCGTCCACTAGTATAACTCTGGTTGTGTAGTGCAGCATGGCCGCCACCAGCATAATTGCTGGTGTAGTGCAGCATGGCCGCCACCAGCATAATTGCTGGTGTAGTGCAGCATGGCCGCCACCAGCATAACTCTGCTGGTGTAGTGCAGCATGGCCGCCACCAGCATAACTCTGCTGGTGTAGTGCAGCATGGCCGCCACTAGTATAACTCTGGTTGTGTAGTGCAGCATGGCCGCCACCAGCATAATCGCTGGTGTAGTGCAGCATGGCCGCCATCAGCATAACTCTGCTGGTGTAGTGCAGCATGGCCGCCATCAGCATAACTCTGCTGGTGTAGTGCAGCATGGCCGCCACCAGCATAACTCTGCTGGTGTAGTGCAGCATGGCCGCCACCAGCATAACTCTGCTGGTGTAGTGCAGCATGGCACCACCAGCATACTCTGCTGGTGCAGTGCAGCATGGCCGCCACACATAACTCTGCTGGTGTAGTGCAGCATGGCCGCCCACAGCATAACTCTGCTGGTGTAGTGCAGCATGGCCGCCACCAGCATAACTCTGCTGGTGTAGTGCAGCATGGCCGCCACCAGCATAACTCTGCTGGTGTAGTGCAGCATGGCCGCCACTAGTAAACTCTGGTTGTGTAGTGCAGCATGGCCGCCACCAGCATAACTCTGCTGGTGTAGTGCAGCATGGCCGCCACCAGCATAACTCTGCTGGTGTAGTGCAGCATGGCCACCACCAGCATAACTCTGCTGGTGTAGTGCAGCATGGCCGCCACCAGCATAACTCTGCTGGTGTAGTGCAGCATGGCCGCCACCAGCATAACTCTGCTGGTGTAGTGCAGCATGGCGCCAACAGCATAACTCTGCTGGTGTAGTGCAGCATGGCCACCACCAGCATAACTCTGCGTGGTGTAGTGCAGCATGGCCACCACCAGCATAACTCTGCTGGTGTAGTGCAGCATGGCCGCCACCAGCATAACTCTGCTGGTGTAGTGCAGCATGGCCACCACCAGCATAACTCTGCTGGTGTAGTGCAGCATGGCCACCACCAGCATAACTCTGCTGGTGTAGTGCAGCATGGCCACCACCAGCGTAACTCTGCTGGTGTAGTGCAGCATGGCCACCACCAGCGTAACTCTGCTGGTGTAGTGCAGCATGGCCGCCACCAGCATAACTCTGCTGGTGTAGTGCAGCATGGCCACCACCAGCATAACTCGCTGGTTGTAGTGCAGCATGGCCGCCACCAGCATAACTCTGCTGGTGTAGTGCAGCATGGCCAGCCACCAGCATAACTCTGCTGGGTGTAGTGCAGCATGGCCGCCACCACATAATTGCTGGTGTGTGCAGCATGGCCGCCACCAGCTAATTGCTGGTGTAGTGTCAGCATGGCCACCACCAGCATAACTCTGCTGGTGTAGTGCAGCATGGCCGCCACCAGTATAATTGCTGGTGTAGTGCAGCATGGCCGCCACCAGCATAACTCTGCTGGTGTAGTGCAGCATGGCCGCCACCAGCATAATTGCTGGTGTAGTGCAGCATGGCCGCCACCAGCATAATCGCTGGTGTAGTGCAGCATGGCCGCCACCAGCATAACTCTGCTGGTGTAGTGCAGCATGGCCGCCACCAGCGTAACTCTGCTGGTGTAGTGCAGCATGGCCGTCACCAGCATAACTCTGCTGGTGTAGTGCAGTATGGACACCACCAGCATAACTCTGCTGGTGTAGTGCAGCATGGGCGCCACCAGCATAACTCTGCTGGTGTAGTGCAGCATGGCCACCACCAGCATAACTCTGCTGGTGTAGTGCAGCATGGCCGCCACCAGCATAATTGCTGGTGTAGTGCAGCATGGCCGCCACCAGCATAATCGCTGGTGTAGTGCAGCATGGCCGCCACCAGCGTAACTCTGCTGGTGTAGTGCAGCATGGCCGTCACCAGCATAACTCTGCTGGTGTAGTGCAGTATGGACACCACCAGCATAACTCTGCTGGTGTAGTGCAGCATGGGCGCCACCAGCATAACTCTGCTGGTGTAGTGCAGCATGGTCACCACCAGCATAACTCTCCTGGTGTAGTGCAGCATGGCCACCACCAGCATAACTCTGCTGGTGTAGTGCAGCATATCCGCCACCAGCATAACTCTGCTGGTGTAATGCAGCATGGCCACCACCAGCATAACTCTGCTGGTGTAGTGCAGCATGGCCGCCACCAGCATAACTCTGCTGGTGTAGTGCAGCATGGCCCCCACCAGCATAACTCTGCTGGTGTAGTGCAGCATGGCCACCACCAGCATAAGTCTGCTGGTGTAGTGCAGCATGGCCACCACCAGCATAACTCTGTTGGTGTAGTGCACCATTTCCACCACCAGCATAACTCTACTGGTGTAGTGCAGCATGGCCGCCACCAGCATAACTCTGCTTGTGTAGTGCAACATGGCAGCCAAAAGCATAACTCTGCTGGTGAAGTGCAGCATGGCCACCACCAGCATAACTCTGCTGGTGTAGTGCAGCATGGCCGCCACCAGCATAACTCTGCTGGTGCAGTGCAGCATGGCCGCCACCAGCATAACTCTGCTGGTGTAGTGCAGCATGGCCGCCACCAGCATAACTCTGCTGGTGTAGTGCAGCATGGCCACCACCAGCATAACTCTGCTGGTGTAGTGCAGCATGGCCACCACCAGCATAACTCTGCTGGTGTAGTGCAGCATGGTCGCCACCAGCATAATTAGGCTGGTGTAGTGCAGCATGGCCGCCACCAGCATAACTCTGCTGGTGTAGTGCAGCATGGCCGCCACTAGTATAACTCTGGTTGTGTAGTGCAGCATGGCCGCCACCAGCATAACTCTGCTGGTGTAGTGCAGCATGGCCACCACCAGCATAACTCTGCTGGTGTAGTGCAGCATGGCCACCACCAGCATAACTCTGCTGTTGTAGTGGCAGCATGGCCACCACCAGCATAACTCTGCTGGTGTGTAGTGCAGCATGGCCGCCACCAGCATAACTCTGCTGGTGTAGTGCAGCATGGCCGCCACCAGCATAACTCTGCTGGTGTAGTGCAGCATGGCCGCCACCAGCATAACTCTGCTGGTGTAGTGCAGCATGGCCACCACCAGCATAACTCTGCTGGTGCAGTGCAGCATGGCCGCCACCAGCATAACTCTGCTGGTGTAGTGCAGCATGGCCGCCACCAGCATAACTCTGCTGGTGTAGTGCAGCATGGCCGCCACCAGCATAACTCTGCTGGTGTAGTGCAGCATGGCCGCCACCAGCATAACTCTGCTGGTGTAGTGCAGCATGGCCACCACCAGCATAACTCTGCTGGTGGTAGTGCAGCATGGCCACCACCAGCATAAACTCTGCTGGTGTAGTGCAGCATGGCCACCACCAGCATAACTCTGCTGGTGGTAGTGCAGCATGGCCACCACCAGCATAACTCTGCTGGTGTAGTGCAGCATGGCCGCCACCAGCATAACTCTGCTGGTGTAGTGCAGCATGGCCACCACCAGCATAACTCTGCTGGTGTAGTGCAGCATGGCCACCACCAGCATAACTCTGCTTGGTGTAGTGCAGCATGGCCGCCACCAGCATAACTCTGCTGGTGTAGTGCAGCATGGCCACCACCAGCATAACTCTGCTGGGTAGTGCAGCATGGCCACCACCAGCATAACTCTGCTGGTGTAGTGCAGCATGGCCGCCACCAGCATAACTCTGCTGGTGTAGTGCAGCATGGCCACCACCAGCATAACTCTGCTGGTGTAGTGCAGCATGGCCGCCACCAGCATAACTCTGCTGGTGTAGTGCATGCATGGCCACCACCAGCATAACTCTGCTGGTGTAGTGCAGCATGGCCACCACCAGCATAACTCTGCTGGTGTAGTGCAGCATGGCCGCCACCAGCATAACTCTGCTGGTGTAGTGCAGCATGGCCGCCACCAGCATAACTCTGCTGGTGTAGTGCAGCATGGCCACCACCAGCAATAACTCTGCTGGTGTAGTGCAGCATGGCCACCACCAGCATAACTCTGCTGGTGTAGTGCAGCATGGCCACCACCAGCATAACTCTGCTGGTGTACTGCAGCATGGCCGCCACCAGCATAACTCTGCTGGTGTAGTGCAGCATGGCCACCACCAGCATAACTCTGCTGGTGTAGTGCAGCATGGCCACCACCAGCATAACTCTGCTGGTGTTATCGTCTCTTCTCACTTAACACGCTGAAGCTGTACTTATTTGTCATTAAGTAAACAGAAAACATTCCTCCACCCACACCTCCACCCTCACCTCCACCCTCACCTCACACTTCCACCTTTACTCTCCACCACACTTACCCTCATCTCCACCCTCTCCCTCCCCTCCACTCACACCTCCACCCTCACCCTCCACTCACACCACCAACACCCTCCACCCACATCTCCACCCCTCACTCACCCTCCACACCTCCACCCACACCTCCACCAATTCCAACACCCACACCTCACCCTCACCTCCAAACCTTCACCCTCACCTACACCTCACCCTCACCCCCACCCACACCTCCACTCTCACCCTCTACCCACACCTCCACTCTCGCCCTCACACCTCCACTTTCACCCTCACACACCTCCACCCTACACCCCCACACCTCCACCCTCCCTCACACCCCCACACCTCCACCCTCACCACTCACCCCACCCACCCCTCACCCTCCACACCTCCAACCCTCACCTCCACACCTCCACCCTCACCTCATCCTCACCCTTCACACCTCCACCCTCACCTTCGAGCCACACCTCCACCCACAGCACTCTCACCCTTCATACCTCCACCCTCACCCTCCACCCCTCCACCCACACCTCCTCTCTCACTCTCCACCCACACCACCTACACCTCTACCCTCCACCCACACCTCCACCCTCACCCTCCACCCACACCCTCCTGGAGGTTATTCCGGGGATCAACGCCCCCGCGGCCCGGTCCATGACCAGGCCTCCTGATGGATCAGGGCCTGATCAACTAGGCTGTTACTGCTGGCCGCACGCAGCCCAACGTACGAGCCACAGCCCGGCTGATCCGGCACTGACTTTAGGTATCTGTCCAGCTCTCTCTTGAAGGCAGCC